TTTATTCATTTTTTCATTTAATTTTTTATTTATTTAAACTTTTGTTTTTTAAATTATTTTTCAATTTTTATTTTCATTTAATTTTTCATTTATTTATACTTTTATTTCTTAATTTATTTCTTAATTTTTATTTTTATTTAATCATTTCATTATTTACTTTTTTATTGATTTATATTTTAATTCCTTAATTTATTTCTTAATTTTTATTTTCATTTATTAATACTTTTGTTTTTTAATTTATTTTTTAATTTTTATTTTAATTTAAATATTTCTCCATTTAATTTTTTATTTATTTATACTTTTATTTCTTGATTTATTTCTTAATTTTTATTTTCATTTATTCATTTCTTCATTTAATTTTTTTATTTATTTATACTTTTGTTTTTTAAATTATTTCTCAATTTTTATTTTTATTTAATTATTTCCTTATTTAACTTCTTATTTATTTATACTTTTGTTTCTTAATTTTTATTTTTATTTAATCATTTCTTTATTTAATTTTTTATTGATTTATATTTTAATTAATTTATTTCTTACTTTTTATTTTCATTTATTTATACTTTTATTTTTTAAATTATTTCTCAATTTTTATTTTCATTTAATTATTTCCTTATTTAATTTCTTATTTATTTGTACTTTTATTTCTTAATTTTTATTTTTATTTATTTATTTGTTCATTTATTCTTTTATTTACTTATATTTTTATTTATTTCTTGTGCATTTATTTATTTATTTATAATTCTTAAATATAATAGATAGTAGAAATTATAAACATTTCTTATAATTGTATAATGAAATATTTGATAAGAAAAAGAAGGAAAAATATTCGTTTAATATTTTATAATATAATATAAATATTCGTTTGATATTTTTCCTTCTTTTTCTATTTCTATTCTTTTCTCTTATTATATTATTAATACAATTTTATTTTCAGCAATATTTTGTGACTGCGCGCAATGCGGTCGATAGAGTCAGTGTTTGTTTCGTAAAAGTTTTTTTAAATCCTTTAATGGATAACGCGAAATTAGAATCAGTGTTTATTCGCCGATTAATAATAATTTTATCGGTCGCGGTGATCTTTATCTTTTTAAATATTCGTTTCGTGTACAAATTAGAGTCAGTACCATTTCTCAAGAGGATGAAACGATTTTTTATCACGCGAAGAGGTAACTATTTTTAATTTCATTTAAATTTTTACTCCTCTATCCATATAAAATCATTTAGATTTTTAATTTTTAAATTTTCTACCTTTATATTAAAATTTCAATTTTTATTAATTTTTTATTAGCTTAATAGAAAGAAAATTTTCTTTCAGCCTTTTCTGCCTATCTTTTCTTTTTCAACGGTCCTTATTATTGAAACACTTATTAATGAAAATATTATTTACGCAAATATTTTTTAATTCTTGTAGCATTATTTAAAAACATTATAATTATAGAAAGAATATTAATTATTTATTATTTACAATATATATCGTGTCATTTTAATTTATCAATTATTCTGTTACATATATTTTGTTATATTTTTTATAAACGGGTCTCGATGCGTAGTCACCTCCTCGTCGGTGAGACCCGGTAATTGGCATCGCTTTTAAAATATTTTATTCAAATATTTTAAATTTAAAATTTTTAATTTTAAGAAATATAAGATATATATTTCATCGATAATAATTTTCGAAAAGCGATGGCAAGCCAAGAGCTACGCACACCTGCACTCTAGTCCAAAATTATTATTTATTAATTACATATTTATTAATTTTTTATAATTGATAAACTAGACTGCAGGTACTATAGTAAAATCTGTACAAGGATATTCTCCCTCTCGTATTTTATATTTATATTAATAATATTAATAAATAAAATATCCTTGGCACAGATCAATTTATTAATCGATTAATAAATTAACATTAATTTAACCGCCATATTCCATATCAAAATACTCTCTCTCTCTCTCTCTCTCTCTAACTTAAGCGAAAATTAAAATTCTCAATTCCTTCACTCCCTTCGTTTCCATTCTTCATGCTTATTCTCGAATCATCGTTTCCTACGTTTCTTCCTCATTTCTTATCCTCATTTTTACGCTCTTTCATCGCTTATTCCAAGCAACTGTGAACCACGCGTCGCGCAACGGTGGCAAGAGTCGTCGGATGGGTGCTCTACTTCCGGTGGCCGATCGATGGTCCGCGCTCCGATCGATTGGTACCCTCGAGTACTCGATCGGAGTTAGGTCTCATGGTGGAACGTAGTCTTCGTAATTCGGCTCCGGTGGTCGGGGATCTACATCCCTTGCTCCTTCCTGTGTCGTTGGGAAAGCGTTCAACCATTAGAAGACCGCTGTCGTAACCCTCGGTTGGTCACGACTGGCGAGTATCATCCGTCCAACGATCCTCGTAAGCCCGCTGATGTAAGTCGTGATACGAGGATCATAGTTGTTCAGAGGAGAGTAGTTTTTTGAGTTTCTTCTTCTTCTTCTTTTTCCGTCGTGTCTTGGTCTTCGATATTATTTCTGTTTCGGTGATATTAAGCTGGTTTTTTCGTTTTTTCCCCATTTCGAGGATTATAGTTTATTATTTTTAAATTAAATTGCTAATGGCAAATATTTCTTAATGTTTTCTTCTTTCGCTTTAAGTTAAGAGGAGGGTATTCTTGATAGGGATACGATTGTAGATTTTAAAGTAGTTAGTATTATAGTTAGTATTAAGATTTAGATTAAGTTAGTTTAAGATTTCATCGATGGACGACGTGGGAATTTTTTAGATTTTAATCTTTTATTGTAATTTATTTATAGTATAAGGGATCATTGTAAAAATTTATTGTGATTTATTGTATTTAGTGTAAGTGATAAATTGTAATGATCATTGTAAAAATTTATTGTAAATAATTGTTATGTTAATTTTGTCTTTTTATGTTTCAGATTTTTTCTACACAGTATTTATAACTTTAATTTTATATTAATTTCTTTTTTTATATTATTCATGTTTTATGTTAACGTTTTATTATCTATGTTCTAATTTAATTTATGTTTCCAATTTGTTTAATTCGTTTAATTTTTTCTTTATTTCAGATTTTTATTTAACGTTATAAATTTATTTCGATATTTTATGCTTGTATATTTTTTTTTTTTTTCTCTCTTTTTTTCAGGACGGGTCTCGACGCGTAGTCACCTCCCAGTGGTGAGACCCGGTAATTGGTATCAATTTTCGTATCGATTATTTTTTAAATATTTTTTAGATTTTAAAGATTAATTTTTGGAAAATTAATTTTTGGAAAATCGATACCAAGCTAAGAACTACGCAGTATCTATAGTCCAGTTTAAACATTCCATAATTCGACTTAATTATTTTCAATTATTATAAACTGGACTACAGATATTAAAATTTATATAAAATTAATAATTTTTTTAAATAATTTTTTGTTTTAGTTATAATAGACAGTCAATATTAGTTTTCAAAATATTCGCAAAAATCTTTTGATAATATTGTATTGATTTCTATCTATAATATATAAAATACATAATATGAAAAATACATAATATGTATCAAATAGACTATTAAAATTTTTAATCAAGAAATTTAAGCAAAAAAAATAATGAAAATAATCAAATTCGTTTCTTCCGCGCAGAGCAAATTTAAATAAAGGATAAATAGTAAGAGAAAGATAGAGATATGACAAAAATTGTACAAGTGGCGCCATCTCTAAATGAAACTACATATAGACAAAGAGAACAAACTGTACAAGTGGCGCCATCTCTAGATGAAACTACATATAGAGAAAGAGAACAAATTGTACAAGTGGCGCCATCTCTGGAGTAGATGAAACTACATGTAGACGAAGAGAACAAATAATGAAACAAAGACAGAAATAGCAAACAAGTAACTACCAGCGCCATCTCCCGAGTATCAAAATTAGCTCTTCAAAAAGTTTTTCTTGACTCTTAAGAGATGGCGCTAATAGTCAATTCTTATTTTATCTTTATCTTTCTCATATTATTTTCTGTCCTTCTACAATGAGTTTCATTTGCGGCACTCTGGAGATGGCGCTGATTTCAATATTTTTATTCTATCTCTGTCCTTTTCTTTATTATTCTTATTCTTTTCTTTATTTCTGTCATTATCTAATTGATTTTCTTTGATTTTAACACGCTAAAATTACAGATACGAAATATTTATCAAAATTTATCGTTCTAGAAATATTTTTCATGTAAAAGAAAATATTACAGTTGATAATTCAATTTTAATGATTTATTTTTATTTAAATTTTAATTATAATTTTTGTTTAATTTTTTAAATGAACAATTGGCATATTTAAAGCTTGGAAAGTTTAATGTATAATAAAAATTCAGCAATGGTTATAAAATTTAACGAAAATACGTGATCTCTGCCGACGAAAAATGATTTTTAAAATATAATATACATTATAACTTTTTAAGTTTTTATTTTTAATTGTATTATTTTTAGCATTTTATGACAATAATAAATGTAATAATTGATATATTGTTATAATTAGATTTATACTTCTTACAATATTAATTTTTGATTTATAATTGTATTAAAATATCCAAAATATGATTTTATGAGAATAATTATAAGACGGAAACAAAAACATTTTAATTTGTACTAAATTTACACTAATTTGTATTAATTTTATACTAAAAATACAAAAATATATAAAAATAGAAAGAATTCTTATAAACTATTAAATTTTTTTGTTTTATAATAATGAACACAATATTTTATAAAATTTTTAATTTTCTTCAAATTCATCTGGTGATTTTAAGCATTTTATTATATTATATTAATATTCAACTTGTTTGCACATTTCTTTTGCTATTATTTCTTCTTCCAAAAATAAAAAAACTTGTATGCATAAAATTGTTTTGTTTCAAATGGTTAATTATGCTTTCCTGCCTTAGATAAACTTCCTTATAATTATTTTGCATAGGAAACATGGGATGATAATGTATTTGGAAAATAGTCACGAGGAAATCGTCACCAGAATATATTTCGTTTACAAGAATTTTTCAATGGCAACTGCCAGTTTGATAATACTTAATATTTATTACATTCCTCTCATTCATCCACACCCACGCATAAGTGCTATACAGAAAAAATTGTGCTGAACGCTCAGGATACATCGTTTATTTCATCCATTTAAAAATTATAGATAAATATGCATACAATTTTTTTTTTTAACAATTAATCGAATTCGTTTTAATACTATGCAATTAAAAGCTTTTACCAAGACTGAAATCCTCTTGTCTATTGTATAAAGAATAGCATGCAATTCTTCCAACATTTAATATATGTAATTTACATTTTACTTTACTATTGTTTTCTGAATAGAAACTTTTATGCGAGTTTCTAATTTCTCAAACTATTGTTAAAAAATTTTCAAAATAGATGAGCAAACATTATTTCCTTTGCGCGTACAAATTGACCTGCAATCATACTATACATCCATGTGTCACGATATTTTAACACAAATGGACGATCAAATAACGAAGAAGAGAAACACTGGTGGAGAATTGAACTTGATTCACGTGTGCTTGTAAAAATTTTTGATGACACCATTTGATTTCATTTCTCTTTTGTGCAATTAAAATTATTATCTTATTTCACAAAAATTTTATTTTCTTCTTCTTTTTCATCAAGAACATATTTCATAATAAGGCACGACAGATTCTTCAAATTTTGTGTTTAAAAAATTGGCTCTCCCTGCTGTTGCGTTTTGGTTTTGATTTCTATTGAGCAGATTAATTCTTACACACTATCCATAGATCGTGAAGAATCATTCTTGTTATTTTCCACGATCTTTGACTAACTTGTGCGCGATAACTGCACTTGCCTGCTGATATAGTTAGATTTCTACTATCCTAAAATTTTCACGAAACTAATGGAGAAAAAATTCATTATCATGCATACAGCTCAAAGTAAAAATGTATCAAATTCACAGTTTTAATCGCGTCAGCCTAAATTTTTAAAATTCCACGACTACAATCTATTTTCATTCTTTCTCTTTTTTTTTTTTTTTCTTTTCTTTAATTTAACCACAAAGAAACAGATTTAAAAGATTTTAAAAATACAGGCTGATGTAATTTTATCTATTATGTTCTAACTTTTTATGATATAGTTCCTCCGACAGTTTTTTTAAAACTTACACTTGAAAAATAGTCTCTTCCAAACTCACTCAAGTCTCTTTCCAAAATAGAACACGACTCGTGGAATTTTCTCCACGAGAAAAGATCCTTTCTTCAACAAAAGAAAAAACCAAATGATTCACTGATCTTTCAGACACCAATTTATATTTACAACCATAAAGAGAATCAATAGTCAAAAAAAAAAAAAAATATATATATAAATCATATCTCCAATAATTATCCTAAGAGCAGAAAGGAAAATTCAAGATATTGACTTCCTTCCAAGAAAAACTTTAAATTTGTTACTTCTCTGCGCAAACCGTACAAAGGCTGTTTAACACTTATTACTCTTCATTGAAAGATATCATTAAGGATAACGCGAATCACTCAGGTACCTCGACGAGTAATGAAGATTATGGTACGATCTACTTCTTCTATGATCTCTGTGTAATTGATTCGCGGGCCTTTGAGCCGGATATGGTCCTACATAAGATACTGTCCTAACCGCTCGTCGCTCCTGCTCATTTGGAACTGGTTCTGGAAGTGTTCCAGAATAATCCGGAGGTGGTGCAGCTGGTGATGAAGCGGTTTGAAACTGAGACATTCCATAGAGGACACCTATGGATTTTCTGCAGACATCGTGCCGCCTTTGATTTTCTTGTTCCAACTGACCCTCCTTTCTTCTGCTTTGGGACGATCCACTTTCCGTGGAATTGCTGTCCTCGCTGGTCCCCAATCCAGGATCCCTATCGTCGAACGCAGCTAAACTGGTTGCGGGGCTGCCTTGAAAATTCTTATCGGAAGAATGATGATAATAAGTCAAAGTTGGATGTGGAATCACGTAAGGATGTTGGAGTTCGCAATTTAGATCCTTCTCTGAAATCTTCCTCTGTTGAGTTTTATCCGTTTTGTCCGTTTTGTCATCGTGATAAGATGAAGGGCCGAATAATGATAACAAGACAGGAAGTAGGAACATTCCGTGCATGGCTCCGATAAATATCACCAGGAACACCATCTTGAAGAATACCATAAAAATGTACGTTCCAGCAAGGACCAAGGCTATTAATCCAAGGATCGTAGAGGTGGCCCCTTGTACTATGGGAAGGCCAAGACTGTACAAACTTTCTTTCACTCTGTCCTCCGGTGTCTTCTGTTTGGAGCTCATATAGGCGTAGCAAATGTGAGCAGTGAAATCGACGCTGAAACCTATACACATGATAAGATTAATCATGGATATGCTGTCTAGGCTTACATCCCACAGAGCCATGTAACCAGCGACTCCCAATTCGATTGAAATGATACAAAAAGCAACCCAGAGGCAACACATTACATTGGGGATAAAGATGAAGCTGATGAGCATCATGACAAGGGCACCAAACACCATACATTGAATACTAGTGGGTTTAACAAGTTCGAATTGGTCGAAGAACACAAAGTAGGGATGGAACACGCTGGCGTTCAATGGAGATTGAGCGCAAATCTGACGGAGCTCTTTCACCATGTCTTTCTCCTGATTGGTCCCGCTTACATTCACCGCTTGAATGAGAAATCTGCTGGCTATAATGTGTTCTTCGCTCGGGTCGAACTTCACATCCAAGGAAAAGCTACTTTTAGGGGACAACCAAGTGTCTTTTAATTCTTTGATGAAACTTTTCTCGTCTTCGATATCTACGTCGGTCGCACTGTTGTTGGCGTAGCTGAGAAAATTTCTCAGCCAGCTCTCCGTGTAGATAGGAGCGCTGCTGATGTATTTGCTGGCCTCCAAGGATCGAGTTAAATTCTCCATCTGTTCCTGAATCACTGGGTCGCTGTAATTATATTCTCCGCTTACTACCACCTGAAATCGTGATATTTTTTTTAAAATCAACTTAAACGAAATTAACGAGTTTAAGATCTTTCTATGACTCGATAAAAACTCGTCCTCAAATATATTAAATTATATGTAATCATCGAGATTGTAAAAAATGCGGTATTTTCGAATGTTTAAACGAACGTTGTGTAGCCTGAATCGTGATAGTGCTGTCTGACGCAATGCCAGTCACTTTTCTTCGACTGGACTCTAAGAGAAAGTCACTCACGTGACATAATTGCGAGTAAAAAATTATTATTAGAACGACAAATCTTCGAAAATTGATTACGATCCCTGAACGATTTGAATGGAAAATTGTCATTCTTCGATTAAAAATTTCTTACATTCCAAGTAAAATTTTATAAATTTTACATTAAAATATTTTTTAATATATATATATTTTTCTCAAGCATTACTTATCACAAATTTCTTTCAAAAATATCTAACACAAAATCCGATTAAAATCCTGATTCTGTACCTGTATTCTATATGGGAATTCTCGAAAATAGTAATCTTGACGGTCATAGAAAACAATCGAATAAGAGTCATTCTTGGAGAGCTTGCGTCGATCCAAGCCCTCCCGAAGAGTTGTCAGCCCGTAAAGAGCGCCGGCTAGATAGCAGCCGAATATCAGAATTACAATGATTTTGATGGGTCTGCAATTCAACGCGGCGGCCAGATAATCCCGGAACCAACTCATGCATCCGTGTTCCGGGTTGTCGGTAGGATTATAAGGATCGTCTGGATCCACGCCCCCGGTGCATAATGCTCTATAGAACCAAGATCTGTTTGCTGAAAAATAGAAGAAAGATATTTGTTAATTCATAAATCAATCGATGTATAGTTTATATACGGGACAATCAGTGTTTTCATAAAGAAGCCATTATCATTGACTTTGAAACTTCTAAGCATTGTGGGAAAAAGAATGATGAAGCCATTGTGTGGTGAGAACAAAGGCATCGGTACAATGTCACGCGCCAACCGACAATGTTAATTACATTAAGATTCCAAGTACGCATTCGTGATGAGGATAATCAATTTCCAAGATGCGTTCACCTTTATCGATTGTTAATTACAATTCTTTTCCATCAAATCAATTTTTATTGATAAATTCGAATAACTTATCTAGTTTCACCTGTATTAAATAAAAAATTCTTAAAACCATCTCTCTAAGATTACGTTAAATCAGGTTAGATCAGATTAAATTGGGCAACACAGATCTCTTGGAACCTGTACACCTTTTACTTCCTTTCTCTGAAAGAAAAAACTTTACCAAAAATTTTTATGTAACAATATTATATAACAACAGCGTAAAGCCGGTGATTTCCATAGGCAATTTTCTGCCGTCAATTTCGAGAATTTGTTCTCCAAATTTCCGGTCAAACAAATAGATGAATCATCTTCCAAAATTGGGACAGTTTTTTCGAATGAATCTTGATAAAAAAAAATTTTTTCAATCCACGTCCTTTTGTAATAATGAGTAATATCAATAGTAATAAGTTATGGCGAATCAGCATTGATTTTTCTAAAAACTTCAAAGGATAATAAATGCATATATATGTATATATATCATTTTTGTGTCAAAATCAAATGAACTGATTTTGTCATTTTTTAATAATATTGCAAGACAATTCCGGTTCATAGATAATAAAATGGAAATTGATGCATTTGCTAATTTTTTTCGGTGACAGGAAGAAATTACGTAAAAATGTGACTAAGATGACATTGTTCATAACTGTTTACAATGTCTCGAGAGAAAGTGACATGTTTATGTAATAGAACGGTGATCTAACAAATTAGCGAGGCTCGAACATAACCTAGCTTTTCTCACGTAACTGGTGGTATACCACAAGCGATATATCTTGAATTTTTATTAAATTAACGAGATACATGTGGCAAATGTGTGTACAAAGAAAGTAACCGAATTTAAATCTCACAATAATCAATTTTAACGGGAGCCATTTACCAATTATAACAATATTATCAAAGAGTTTCATTGATGTATAACCATTCATAATAAAAGACTTCCTGATGCGATCAAACTACAATTTACAAATCATTTTAGAGACTTAACAACGGTTAGTCAGAATCTTCCGGCTTTCATGATCGAAATGGCAAACCATTCGTAACAACTTTTCCCTTCTAATAATCATACATCGATTTCTAGAAATAAAGCAATATTGTTAAAAAATTTTAACAAAAAAAAATCTGTTCTGTGATTTTTAAAATGACATCATTTTAATTATATTAAAAATAAATAAACAATTATGATTCCAAAACTCGAAGATTTAATTGTAAATTCTATAATGTAGAAAGTTTTGTGTCGTGTAGAGAATACATGAAAGTTTAAACAGATACTGGCAAATGATACGTTCAATACGTATTCTCTGTCCGTGAAAGTATTCCGGATAACGTCTTCTTGGGATATTTTTTGTTACCTATACATATATGCAGTATATTTAAGTGTAAAATGGTTACATTGGATGTAGTAACCTAAAGGAATTCTCCGATCGCCAAACTCTTACTTTTACCACGTGAGTTCTTGGACAATTATGTAACGAGAAAACATGTATCTACTTCCTTATTCTTTTTCACCTTCTTTATTCAAAAATTCTTATTTTTTTTATATACTTCTTCAAAGATTGTATTATATAAATTATTTAGATATAAATAATTTTGTTAAACTGATTTGAAATATAACAAAATTTAAATATATATAATTTGAAAATATATATATATGTTAGATAGATATATACATGTAGATAATTTAAGAATATTTATCGTGAATATTTATTAATTAGTTTCGTTAAAGATATATTAGATCTAATACTACTAAAGGATATGATTATGAACTTAAGAAACTAACTAAGAAAAAAGAAACAGAGTAATAAAAAAAACTCACAAGACTTGGAGAGAGGTTGCACCTTGCAACATACTACACTATGAAGATTCTTTTGCTCGCAATAGCCACTGATGGCTACACAGCCTGTGAAGAAGGTCAGGTGAAACACGAAGGTGAAGACTACGGCGAATCCTGAGACAAAAAAAAAATATGTCACTTAATCAGTTTCCAAGTTTAGCTTTCAATTCTCTTTAGCCGATATATCTTTTACACACCTGAATAAATACAGAAAATTTGAACAGAGGGAAAGGGTGAGAGAATGCCAATGAAGAACGATATCATGTCAGTCAAGGAAGTAATGGTAATCGAGACAGCAGCTTCGCTAAGAGTCGCAGCCATTCTTTCAGGTACCGGTTTCATTATACTGGTTCGTCTCCAAGCAGCTAGCATCACAAACGTGTCATCTATTCCAATACCTGCGAACAATTAAAGGATTGACTTAATTGAGAGTATTAAATCGCTTTGTCATAAATTATTTGGGATAAAAAATAAATAAATCATGACACCGATGAATCATACGAAGAACGAATTGTCGGCGCAAACACCCCTTATGTCGGTATAAAAACGACCACGGTATCATTATCGTGATAACAAGGCGGCAGTTAATACGTCGAGTGAATCAGAATGGCCGGCTTATTCGTGATTCAGCCTGTCTACATTTGGATGGCGATTTATAACCGCTAATAAACGCATTTATTCAATTTCAAGCAAGGACGACCGATTTTCAGAACCCTTTCCCGCGTTATTGTTCGAGTTCAACTATGCTTTTTCACCTAACGATCGAATAAATTTTAAATTCACAGTATTCTAATAATTTCTCGATTCGAGAAAAAGTAATGTACTCTGCATAATTCTAATTTTAAAAAACGTAGAAAGCATCGTACGTTATCAAAATATAATTATATTTTTTCTTTACAAATATACAAATTTCATTTTCATTATTTTAATCGTTTACAAGTTATACATTTTACAGTGTAAATTGATAAGCACATCATATCGTCACATGCAATACTTGATATTCTAAAGAAAATTAAAAATTTCATCCGCCATTTTCATCTAATTCAAATGTGATTATCGATATTTTTATATATCGATAAATATCGATAATATTGCTATGTTATTAATTCGATACATCGATATTATTAGAACATCGATTACAAATAAAAATGAAGAATTAGAATTTTTATTTTTTTTATTCAAAATTATTATTAATATTAATATTATTAACGATCATTTATAAATAAACGATATTTAATTAATTTTTTGAGTTACATATTGAAAATATTGTTAAAATATCAATAATACGAAGTGACTTAATTTAATTACAACATAATTTTTCATTAAAATTTATTTATTTTTAATAACTTATTAATAATAATTTTTAATTAAAAAAATAGGAATCCAATCATTTTTATCCGTTAATAATATTTTGCATAGATATATCGAATATCATAAATATATCGAAAACTATTATTAATATGTATCGATAAAATATCGATAATCAATAACTACAACTCTAATTTGACACTTTATGATTTTCTTTTACATATCAATAAGAATTTTAAAGATGTTCATTACAAATAATTAAGTGATACAAAAATAATAAAATTTAATTCAAAATCAACTACGAGAATATTTTAGTATATTTCATGAAACGAAAAAACTTGTTTTGGAAAAAAATTTATATACTATTCTTGAACGAATAGTAAAAGATATTAAAAAATAAACATACATTTCTGAAATTAATGAATTCTATTTCTATTTCTATTTTTAGATTTTTAAATATCTCTTTTCATTTTCGAAATATAAGTGTATAACACTATTCTCTAGTTAACCTTCATATGTATGACTATTTTAAAAAAAACATAATAATCCAATTAAAATATATGTATTAGAGAAAATGATTCATAACGCAATAGCCATTGACGAAAGTCTTTTGCGAAATTGTGTTTACTAGCTCTGTTCGAATGAATGATCACGAGTCAAGCAATAGGACAAACATCGAGTGATTTACGTGAAAAGCGGAAATTTCGCTGCAACTTTTCCCTTTTGCTGTTGCATTTGCGTGTATCAATCATCAAGCAATGTGACTGTTCATTATTGCACACGTTAGATCATTGTGAAATTTTTCTTTTTCATTTTGAACTTATTCCTTTTAATTTTAAATCTCTCTGATAAAAAAAAGTATCTTCAAAAAGACACGCGAATCATATTGATTTGTGGTTTTATTCACCTCATTCTCAGAATTCACATAATAATTCCTCTCATCAATCATTCACTCCATGCAGAAATATGCGTCACAGGTTTTTTTTGTAATCTAAGAAATGTAAATTGAAATTAGCATGATTCAGTTTTATTTTTTCTTTCGTATTTAATTGGGAATTCCACGTTTAAAAATAAATGGCTGATGTTTTAAATACCATTGTTATTTTTTTAATATTTCGTTAACCATAATGTTACAGAATCTATTTAACCTAAATAGCATTCCTGCATGATAAAGATTATATTATATGGAAAAAGAAAGTGCAGGTGCACTAAACTTTAGTGAAAAGCAGTACATCATTCTTTTGTCAGAATCCTACAGACACGCATGCTATTGAATTTATGTCCAAAGAATACTAATTAATTATCATATTACAATTCTTCTTCAGTTTTTCAATAAAATTCTATATTCAAATCTTATTGACGCTTACAAATCTCGTTTAATAATATTTCACTCACCAATCATGAGAAAAGGTGCAGCTAAATTGAGACCAATGAAATCGACACCTAGGTATATACAAAGACCAAAAGCTGCCACCGTTGCCATCGCAGCGGAAACATTGCCAAGAAGTCCCAGCCATGGTTTGCTGCGCACCCAATCGGTCATCATGCAAGTGACCACAGAGAACAGAGCCATCAATATGAATGTGCTCGAAAAATAAGGCACTATGGTTTTGGTGTTCTCTTCCAGTTCTAGTTCCAAAGTCCTAGACGCAAACCTGGCAGTGGTAATGTGTTTGAAAATGTTCTCCTCTTCCACTTTTCTCAATGTCTCCAGGAATGCTTCTTCCCAGGCTGCTCCTCTATTTCAAAAATAAGATAGAAAATGTAAAATAAAGGATGTAAGAATTTTAGAGATCGACTTACATCGCATCTTGACGAGCATTGTCAGCTGTGAGAAAGTAGGCCAATTGCATAGAGGGTACAGACTCGATCATTAAATCTTTGTCGATCACACTTCCTCCAAAATAGACCGGCAATATGTAAAAATCCCAGGTGACAGGATTCAGCGTGACAGGAAACGTCAGATTGAGCTCTTTCTTCTCCACAAACCTGCAAAATGCTACCGAGTACTTAGACCCCTACTACTATTATATTTTTTATTCAATTTGCATAAAAGAACAATGGATATTTTTATATTTGTTTTTAGCCATGACACATGAACAAAAATAAGTGATATTTTATAATGATCTTCTATGTACGATGAAACCTTATGAAATATGTTTTATGCACGGTATTTTTTTTTAATGCTTTAGTCATCAATCATAATAAATTATAATAATATAAATAAAATTATTAAAAATATTTATGTATTAAAAATTTATTTAAAAATATATATATATTTACAATATATTTACAATATTTAAAATATATATATTTTTATAAAAATAAAATAAAATAAGATATTGCTTAGAAAGTCATGTGTCATGTTTTATGATAAACAATCGCGTGATGACGCTTACTTATGAGCATATTTGGTAGCTATTCAAACTCATGGATGATACCTGCAAGTAATTGGCAAAATCATATATGCATCATATATAAATAAAGAAAATTTCCATTTAATTTGTTTAATATAAAATAGATTTTTAGTGATTAAATAGAGTTTCAGTTAAATTAGTGTTCACTCATAATTAAAAATGCCTAGTCTTTTTTAACATATAAGACAATAAATATGCCATTATTATTCTTTGCTTTTAAATTTTTTCTCAATTTATAATTATAATGATACTTACTCTATAATATGATGTAGATCTAGAATATCGTTGTTGAAGCATGTGTCTAACCATCTAGCACAAATTTGACTATAATTAAATTCTTCTCCTTCGTACATCGCTTTCGTATTTCTTATAGTCTTATCCAGTTCTCTGAGCTCGTTGAATACCACTGTTCTCAATAGATTTTCATTTCCATCCTTAGATGTGATAATCACATGCCCGAATCGACCTAATATCATGTCCAAAAATAATATTCAATTACAAACGAGTAGACAGATTCTTGAAGAAAATATTGATATGGAAAAAAAAAAGTAAAATATACATAAGAAACTACATTAATTATGTTCTTGTAATCAAGATTAATTAGCAATGGCTCAATGAAACATGAAAGTTCTCAAACTAATAGCAAATCACAGTTTGCATGTTCAATCGCTCTACAGCACAAAATTACACATAATGCAAACAAGGAAACACTGTCAGAGTAATTGATGTAAGCGAGCACTTTCTCCTTGAACTTCGCCATCACCATTATTGTTCTCCTCGTGGGATCATGTAATAATATATCATTAAATCATAATATAAATCATTCGAATATATTTCAATTGGAACTTAAAAATTTTTAATGAATATTTTTAATATATTCGAGATCGCACTGAAAATTGATTGCAAATATCAATTTTCGTTTTACAAAAAACAAAAACAAAAAATTGAATATCTAGAAAACTTTTTTTCAGCATCGATCGCTATAAAATAGAAAATTTCCATAATGCATATATTGCGTCATTAGTCTTGATAAGTTAAAGAATTATAAAAGAATTTTTTATATTGAAGAAGAATGGAAGAATATGGAAGTAAGAATTATAGAGTAAAAAAGGTCAAAACTGATTGACAAATCTAAAACTGAAAGTATGAAATTTTTTTAGTTTCTCGATGGAACTTCCTTTTTCTCAAATCCAACTTACCTGGCCTAGTGATGCGACCTAGATTGAATCTGTGACTATAATTGACTTTAAAGTACTGTTCGACAATCGCCCTTTCCGTTTTGCTTGGTCCATTAATCGGAGAAAAGAGGTATTCCGGATCTATCTCGTAATGGATCCTCTGATATCCGGTAAAGCAGATGCAGGCCAGGAGAACTGGAACTATGACGAAATAACCGGGATGATGGCCAACTACTAGACCTAATTTGTGAAAGGCTCGGTTCAAGAAATCGTCCACACAAGTCAGATTGTTCCACATCTAAAAATATTATTGATACAATCATAATTTTATTTCATATTTATATTTATCAGGAGAATACAATGCTTATAATATTATTTGCAAAAAGATAATGAAGATGCTTCCAAATTTTTTTATCTAATTTTATTTATATTTCTTATTATTAGAAATATATGTAATGAAAGATGAAATTCTATTTGATATTTATAATTATCAAAGCACAAAATGCTTATAACTTTATTTATAAATAATAAAAATGAAAAAAAGATGAATCTTTGTCTGTCTATTCTATGACATTATAACTGAATTCGTTCCATATAGATATAGTTGAAGATTCTATGATGACTAACAGTAATTCGAAAGAAAATTAGTTCGCGAAACATACGTGAAGATATTGATCAATTGTTTGAAATTAAAATACGACTTGCTGATTATTATAATTTCAACATAATATTATTTAAAAAATGGGGAAAATAATAGAAAACGTACTATTCATTTCCAAACAAATAATGAATTCAAATGTTAAAGATAGACTATATCACAATACAGCGCAAGAAATTACAGAGAAATAAAGCGAACAATAATATTATAATTAAGTTTTTCAGAATTCAAAACTATAATTACGAACAACGATTATTTGGGATTAATATAATGTTAATTTTAACTGTCCTATTGTGCAAAAATTTGTATCAATAATTATAATAATTATATACATATATTTTCATTAAATGAAAAATTCATTTACATTTTCTAAAATATCAAAAACTTAAATAAAATTCTAAAATATCATCTCATTTTCTAAAATATCAAAAATTTAAATAAAATTCAATATAAAAGAAATTTTCATTAATTTAAAAAATTTAATTTAATTAATTTTAATAATTTAAAAGATATAATTTAAAATAGATATAATTTAAGATTATTATTTAAAAAAGATATAATTTAAAAGATTTAATTTAATTAATTTTTTAATTTTCTAATTTGTAATTGTAATGTTTTAATATAAAATATTTCCAATTATTTTTGAATATTATTTTTTTACGGCGATAACAATAAAAATCAAAAAAATTAAACAATAAAGTACTTATGTTTTCCACATATTTAAAGCATAAAATATGTGAAATTCATCGCACGGTCCGTTTGATGCGTAACGAAAGATTTTAGAATTCAAGATTTTATCAATTTTTTTTTCCTGCTTGTATAAATAAATAATGCGCGCAAAAGTATACACAGTAATTGTAATTTCCCACAAACAATTCCTTATCACAATATCCAAACACAGTAAATTGAACATAAGAATATAGAATTATAAAATTAATAAAGTCAACCACTTGCAAATCTTAATATCGAAATTACTATAATATACCTTCTAATATCGTAAAGGAAAACAACTGATCTAGATAATTTTTCAAATGGAATATTTAATTTATAATAAATAATCTATCTTTTGAAATATTTTTATGCAATCTTGATTATATCAATGATTTTAAATAATAAAATTAAGTGAAATGCTCGTGTATGTATATATACTCATATCTATACTTAATCTAGACTCAACTGAATGCACAATTTCTAAACAACGACAACAGACCAAACATTTTCCAAAGTGCATCAAGAGTTGTATGACGATATTGTAGTTATGTCACAATGGAAAAACATACTTAGTCTAATAACACAGACATCCGTCCCTCTTCTTAAGTAATCATCCGCGTCTTCACGCTGAAATTCGTGTTCAATTTTAACGATGAAAATCGCACACATCCGTCCTCTTCGGACCAATCATACTATCATGAAATCCACTTTCGCTATACACCAAGATCATTATCTTTCTTCTGTATCCTAATCAAGAAAAAAAAAAGGATATTAAAAATTCCAAACGAAAAATGGGTTAAACGAATTCAAATAAAATGTCATTGAAAAACGGGGAGTAAAAGTGACGAAAACTTGACCCAGATAATGACAATACGCGTTTAGCATAGCGAAATCATCATTGTGTGTCGATTCCTCGGATTCAAGTAGGGATTGCAAATCGTTGCAGATACTTATAAGGAACGATCCACAATTCTTTTCTAGAGAACTCATTGACTTGCAATTCTCGTTACCTCAGATTCCGTTGAAAAACGTATATAAAAGCAAATACGTACATAAAAGCATAATACATGAGAACAAGTACCTCGAAGAAATGGAATAATTCCGATTACTTGATAAGGAAAACATTTTTCACACATTCACAATATTTTTTGCAATATTCAGTTCAAATATGTAAATATACTACATTAACATAAATATTGAATTTGGATGAAATTTTTTCAATACTTATATAAAAAAAAACATGTATACTATACACTTGAATAGACCGGTAGCTCTAGATCAAAGTTTCCTATTTCATACCCTGGATCAATGTCCTACGTTCATTGTTTGTTCGGGAAAAAACTTGTTCTTTCTGGATCATCAACCCGCATACAGAATAAAGTAACAGTACACCGTACATTCTTCCTTAGCGTCTCATCATTCTCACATGTCTAGTGCCTCCCACTCTTCCTTGGTAGCTCGTGTGCATATATAATAGTTTGGATTCTTTCCCAGCATCTCATCTAAATAGCGTTTCATATTTCACATTTTTGAAGGAAGATCTACTTTGTATTTAATTCACACATCCTTCTGCTACCCATATATCTTCCCTCATATAATTCAATATCTCGTATAATTCAATATTATTCTAAAAAATTATGAAAGGATTCCTCCTAAAAAAATATTAGAAATGTTATTTTATTCTAGAAAATTTCAAAAGAAAATTACAATAAGATTGAGAAAAAATACAAAATACTATCAATAAAATTCAATCTAAATGTCTATAATTTGACGTGATCTCAGAACATTTTAAAAGAATATCTTCTAAAAGAATATTTAAAAAAAAATTATTATTTCATTCGACAAAATTTTCAAGAAAATTAGAATAAGATCAAAGAAAAAATATAAGATACTATCGATAAAATTCGAAAGCGTAGACGCGGTTATCCGTAGAAACGGAAGGACATTGGCTCCGGACATGGCAGAATCGAGCGTGAACGACTTTCTAAAACCACTTGCACTCGATTCCAACTTGCTTCTCGAACGGTGGCTGGTGCCGATGACGTGGTTTCCAACATAGTAAACATACAGATCTTTGAGATGGCCATCTTTCTCTTCTCATCACGGAGAAAGTAGCCGATCCTACCAGTCATTGGGTAACAGAACTCGCTCCTTATTCGATCGCTCGATTGAATAACCAATCGCATAACAATCGATCCAACCTTTTGTTCGAGTTGTCCAACGGAATAGTAACTTCGCGTACATAACCAATTTAATCAGATTAATTAACAGCCGTTACGCAAGTTTCACTAGTTGTATAATTTTGTATTATTTGGAAAGTAATCTTCACAATGTTATGTAACATCTTTCTCTTTTGATACAATCAAAGAAATATAGAATTTTAGAAAAGTGATTTTTTTGAAATTATATTTGTGTTAATCGGTTTTATTTAATTGATTTAGATTAATGGACTGATTTCATAATATTCAATTTTGTTTAGATTAATATTAACTTTATTTAATATTACAAAATAAATGAAAGAAGATAATAAATAATTCATGATATTCGAGTTTGGATTAAAAGTAAATTTACATCATATAGATAAAAAAAAAAGTAAAATGGCATGAAGAAATAGTTTCTTAAAATTTTTCAACATTCTTAAATAATTTTGAAAAATTATCTCCTTATGAAATTATGAAGTTAATCTAGATTTCATTAGAAGTTTGATCAATAACTTTATGGTGNGATTTACACATGTGAAATAGTATGATACACATGCACCGGATTGCCTAATTGATTAGAATGTAGATTGGTCAACCGATGTGGTAACATAATATATTGAATAATAATCATCAGATTAAATCACAATGTCGATAGCAATGAAATAGCAGTGATATCTACTAGCGGATACTCAACTTTCAATTCGATGAATTGACTAAATCGCTCTAATGACCAGACGGAAATTTAAATAGATAACCCCTAACGCCAGAAATAACTTTTGATAAGTAAGAAGGAAATGAGAAACTGTATTTATATTACGTAGAAAATGCGTAACCAATATTTAAACACATATTTGCGATACTTTCACTAATTTTTTGATATTTTTTGGCGAAACTATCGATAGTACAAGTTACGTAGAATCAATTTACGTAAGTTTTATAAGAAAGTAATAAAAAAAAAATATTGTTTTTCTAGAATTAAGCGATCCCTTAATACCTTTGAACGGAACACTAAAACTTCATAACAACGAATGATAAACGAATGAGATTTAGAATGTTTCGAATTATTTTTAATTTATAAAAGAGAAAAATCAAATCATCTTAAAACTGATTCAAAGTTTAAAAATTCTTGAAAAAAAATTCTTGATCAATTCGAAATTCTTAAGAATTATTTCACTTGCATTACCTACTTTCCATTTTTACCTATTTTCAAGAATTGACCAACATTATCGTATTCCGATTCAAGGACAAAAATAAAAGGTAATGCGAGACAGAATAACTCGCAAGAATTTTAATTAAAAATTTATTTTAAAAGAATCAGTTGAAAATGATTTAAACTTGAATTTTTTTTTCGTTTGATGTACAATATTCATTCTAAATCCCATCATTATAAAAGATATCTTGAAAAATGACCGAAATAATGCGAACGATCTCTCGTAACGCTGTTTCATCTGAGACGCAGGTCACGCGAGTTTGCATTGAGAATATCAACTCGATTTCGCTCCATGGACCTTGTGCTCGAAATTTGTGTCATATCCCTTCGTAATCATGACTGCCCTTTCAAAGAGCTGTTATCATTGAACATATCTGAAGAATTATTGGTTGGAGGATTGAAATTTGGAACCTAAAAAAATATTGGTGATTATTTTAATTATAGTAGAATATATACAAGATAATTTTCTCGTGTGGAACAAAAGGAAATATCGATGAGATAATTTAAAGATTCTTAATCCCCAAATATTTATGGATCGCAATTCTTTATTTATAAAATAATCATTGATTGAAAATGAGTCTCAGTTTATAAATATTTGAGAATTATTATCTTATTCGTCGATAATTCCTGCATGTTACGTGATACTGACGACAAAACATTCGGTATCAACTTTTGAAATTATCTTATATGTGTTTTCTTTGGATCCTAGCGAAAAAATTACACTATATAAATGTGAATAAATTCAGTAGAATAAAGTAACTTAATGTTAAGATAATTAATTAATTATTATATATAATTAATTAAGATAATTTGAATTAAATATAACAAAATATAATAAAATTAAAATAATCATCCCTTAGCTAATTATTGATTAAATCTATAAATAATATAATAAAAAAAATAGTAAAATAATAAAGTTAAATATGTATTTAAAAATTTAATTATATTAAAATTCAGAGAATAAACTCTACAATTTAAAAACTAAATGCCATTGTCTTGTAAAATTTTATAGACATAATTTTATCTAATTGTGATTGATTCTGTTTAAACTTCTTATAGTAAATCTTAACATAATGGTTAACACAATTAATTATGATCTTAATTTTATTAACCGGAACTTTATTCTAAAACTTTCAATCGATTAAAATTGAAATCAAACAAGTTCAAAATAGGTCTGTGAAATCATAACCGTATCATGTAACGGTAAACGTAAACCGATAAAGAGTTACCTAGACCTGATATACCTTCACTTATGAATTGATAAATTATGAAACGACGTGAAGATTACATCTAGGGGACGATTATTTTGCTCGAGAATCAATGTCGGGTTAACATATCATCATTATATCATCACAAGACAAGAAAATTGCGATCACGTTATTGTAACGTATTCAAATTATCCTTTCTTCTTCGAAAATTATTTTTAATGAATTATATAAAATTATTATAAAATTATCTTGTATCAAATCTTTTAAAATTTTTATCTCTTAAATATAATATTTTTATATTTTATAAATAATCATGAAAAATTAATCTACTATTTCATTTTTTATTTTTTATTATTTTTCTATTATTTCATTCAGTATTCTTGAAATGGTTAATTCATATTTTAAAGTATTCTTCAAACTTTAGATCTTACATTCTTTTAATTGAAGTAACGAGAATAAATTTAATTGTCAAAATAATATTTAACTCAATTTCACATCTTCAGAGAAAGTACATGCAAAATAATTTATAATGATATGTTAACAATCGATCTAAATATTATCTAAATTAGATACCAGAAACTATAATATTAAAATTGATTCTAAATTCAGGTTGGCACGTGGCCGAGAACGAAAGTAACATTTATAAATAAAAAAAAAAAAATGGAAAATTCTCAGGCTTATGCTTTCTCGTCGACACGGTGGTTGCTTGCTTCGAGGTATAAGAGCCACTTCACTGCGGCGATGCCTCTCTGTTTTCTTGCTTCTCTGGATTCGACTTTACAACTCATTTCCACATGAGGGGAATAAAAAATAAAGGAAAATTAATAAACAGCGCGTGTACTATTCGAGGAAAGAGGAGGAAAATTACGGAAAAAACCGTACCTAATACTTAAAATGCTGACGCAGATTGCAAGAAAACAACTAGTGGAAAGCTATATAGGATTTTTGCCGCATTCTCTTGCGAAATTCATGTTTTGACGTCGTAGTTATTCTTTTTCTATCCCTTGGCCGATAATAAATTATTTTGCACAATGTCCTCGACATTTTCACAATCTGTTAAGTATTATTGTGTATGTAATTTTTAAGATTCTTGTATAGATTCAAACACCTATAATGTTAATTTTCATA